GGAATTATTAATCACAATGGAATATAATTTGTGTTTACTAATAACCGTATCTGAAGATTATTAAATATAACTATAATAGAAATAAAAATTCTGTTTAAATCCGTTTTACAACATTAAAAAAAAATGGTGAAAACGTTGAATTATCCATGTCTGTCTGGAGATGGATAATTCAACTCCTCCGTTATTGGAACAGATAGAATAACAAATGAGGTGACGAATGAGAGCTTATAACATAAAAATGGTATTGAAGGTGACAAATTTGACCTCGGAATTCCGGTTCTAGAGTTGCAAACAGAAGTACTGTTTTTAAGTCGTACAAATAGCACAAGCAATATATTATTTGTTGCAACTTCCGGTTTTTACGTCACTTTCAGTTAAAAAGTTCTCAAAATTAGTCTAATCGTATTTCAATCAACGTTACACAAAGAGATCAAATATCGAGTCCCTGTTTTACTTTCGGTCACGATGGGTGAAAATGTATGATTTACGAAGTCCAATTGCTTGTTTAATTATATAAAAAACCTCAGACAATAATTAATAGTAAACTAGTATTACTTGTAATTTTTTCTATAGACTGGCACCCGTATTGATACCGTTACTTGAAATACGTTAATAAATTTTGCTGCCTTTTATTTTTTATACCTCTGCAATGATCACTAAGGTAAATAGGGTCAAATTTTTACTAGATAAAAATGAAACACCAAGAAAAACTTGAAAAATCCAGGAACTTTTTAGACTAAAGACCAGGGGCGATTGATACCGATCCAAATATTCTTCTTCTTCTTTTCGTAGCACTACAACCCGGGGTGGGTCTTGGCTGACTGCACAACTTGCTTCCATCTTGAACAGTCGTCCATAATATTTGGGTCAGTGGGTAGCCCCATTGTTCTTAGATCTGACCATATATTGTCTCTCCATCGCATTCGTGGACGTCCTAAGGGCATTCTTCCTGTGGGGGTTTCCTCCCATATTAACTTGTCAAGGTGGTTATTAGGGAGTCTATGGACATGGCCAGCTCATCTTAGACGTTGGGATTTAATCTCTTCCAATTTAAATATTACCAAAGAAAAAGTATAATATGCAATACAATTGAAAAAGACGCTAAAGCTCCCGCGTCTAATCAAATATCTGCAGAAATAATCAAGCTGATAGAAAACTATTCAAATCAAGATGTTGGGATGAACGGGGCATGTCTTTGTTTCCTTTTTGTTTTGTTATAAAAGAATAATACACGGTCTGAAAATCTATGTTTCAAGAACCTGTGGGAAGAGAGAATGTGAAATACCAAGATAACGCTTCCTTTATAACATCAAAACAGATCTGGAGGTACGGTAATGTGGGGCAAAACGGACACTCGGGGCAAAATGGATTTCTACCACCACGCTTAAAATGGAAGCGCTTTTGTAATCAAAGCGACCACGTGTTAAAGCCTTTGATTGTTAGTGTGTTGAAAGCTAAAGTTGTATAACCTCTGTGATGTAATATTTACAAGCAACGGAATAAGCCATAAAAGACTAGGTTTTCGAAGTTTTTCTAGTATCTTCTAATACTTGAATTTGTTGTTGAAAATAATCGGTACCAGTTTAGTACCTACTTATTAATACCCTTTTTTTAGTTTGATGTTTATTTATAAAATGCCAGTTGTGGCACAGTGGTTCCTTCCCTGTGGGGTACCGTGGCCCTTTGAATATTTCAAAATTTTTACAAAAAATTATCATGTTTCAGTAACACGAATTAGAATCTAGACAGTTTTATGTTGATAACTATGACTTAAAATATGTTTATGTATTTTGTTGTTTTAGATTTAAAATGATACGAAACTATTGGCGAAAAACAAATCAACAATCATGGAGCGAATATGCTATGGCATTCACCACAATTTTTAAGCTCGAACAATAAACTACTTGGGACGCATTACAAGAGGCGAAAGATATGAACTGCTTCAAATAATTATGCAAGGGAAAATAGCAGGAAAAAGGTCCATAGGAAGAAGACGAAACTTCTGGCTAAAGAATCTACGGGAATGGTATAGCTGTAGCAACAACGAATTGTTTCGGTCAGCAGTTTCGAAAATACGTATAGCTCTGATGATCGCCAACCTTCGGAACGAAGATGGCACTTGAAGAAGAAGAAAAAGAAACTACATTAGTAGATCATATCTTGGAAATGGGTAATTTAAGGAGGCTGGTATTCCAGTTTTCGAAAAGAAATTTTTCATTCGTTTTAGGAACCACCGATTTAAGGAGGCTGTCATTCTAGTTTTCATTCGTTTTACCATAAAAAAGGCTTAGCTGGGTGCGATCGAGCGTATGGATTTTTAAAACGGCGAAACAATATTTCTTTACGACTTTCCGAACCTACTTCGCAAGCAAGAGCGACAGATTTTAACAAGCAGAACGTTGCAAAGTTTTTTACACGTCTGCAACAAGGGTCGGAGATACATAACTTCTCTCCAAGCCGCATCTTCCATTGTGACGAAGCAGGACTGTTGACAGTACCAAAGGAACAGTCAAAAATATTTCCGTTAAAAGGAAAATAGCAAGTCGGATGTTTGCCGTTGGCTGAGCGAGGCACACTTTCCACAATTGACGTTTGTTCAAATGCTGCAGGTTTTTATGTATCCATCTAGTAATTTTTGTGCGCAAATCTTCATTTCTTGAAAAGGGGTTCAGTCCAAAATCCATAGCTGCTCAATATCAGTCAGGACGGATGCAATCAAATATTTTCGGATATCAAAATCTGGAATTTGTGAGAATGGCAGGAGTTAACAATGTGGAAGTTCTAGTTTTATCTCCACTCACATCTCATTGGTTGCATTTCCTTGACGTAGAATTTATGGGCCCCTCGTGACATGATTATTTGAGCATTTATTTTTTTTACTCTAAATGTGGTACCTGTTAAAATGTGTTTTTTAGTATTTAAGATTATAAACAAAGTTTTCTTTAAATATGTTATTACCCCCTTTATTTCAGTTTTATTTGATTTTGATGTTCTAATTCTAAGAAAAATAGTTATTTTGTACTTGCTATTATTCATATGATAAGTTAAGTTCGGCTTTCTAGCCTAAAGTTAAAGTAAAAACTGATATTGATATATAAATCTTTCTTGTTTTGTTTAGTAAACCACCTGATTATCGATTTATTTCCACATGTCCCGTGCGGCCCATATGCGTGGCCATTTTACTCCACATATGGGGAAAATTGCACATTTTTGAACTATTTTTAACAAAAGTAAATAAAAAATGTTTATGAATCAATTTGGCAAAGGTTAGGGTTTATTTATTTGGATGAATGAAGACTAAAATGAACGATGCCTTTTATGAAAAAAAAAAAAAAAATGTCAAAAAATAAAGCGATGGTAATTTTTTTACTCTTAGGGACCCCTTACCCCACATTTCCCTACTAAGAATAAGAACCTGGAAAATACTGGCCCGGAAAAAGAAACGTTGAAGGATTTTGAAAATAAGCGACGTGTCATCAAGGGTCGTATATTAATAAAGAAAAAATGTAATAAAGAAATTATAGAGTCTTAATTCGTCCACTGTCAGTGACACTTTTAGAGAGAGTTTAGGTATATCAAAATAAAATCTCTAAAGCAGAGCAAATACTAAAAGATAGTTACTACAAATCGTTAAGACTGATTGATGTTCAGGTTTTGTTGGCAATTAATAATTATTTGTATTAATAAATATGTGTCAAATCAACAGTATAATTTAATTGACAGACAAGTTGCATGTATTTAAACCATTAACGAAAGCAACCAGCGGTTTTAGCTTAGTATTTTATTTAAAAGAACCAAAACACTGACTCTTGAGGTTGAGGCATAAATAAAACAAATCAAACAAATCAATAATTCTAAAATTATTATTCTTTTGAATACCAAATTTTGAAGTTTCAACAGTTAAAGTCACTTAATCTCTGGGTCTACTCTATAGATGGTGCCACTAACAACAGATCACTTAATTTAGAAAGTACCTAGTTTTAAATATTTAATAACTTTTAAAAAGTGGCTAGATGGAACCATTAGTTTCCAAGTTACAGAGAATTAAGTGATGTTGCTCATGAAATTTTTAAAACAATACAGAAACAAAGAAAATGAGAAAACATTAGGTTTCTAGTAGATCAGAGGTTTTTGTAAATTATACGAGTGAAAATTTGGTCAATATAACAAAAATGGGTGTCAGTTGCAGAATAAGTAAGCAATCAATACCTCGAGGCTTTTATTAGTTTCGACGGAGGTGATGAAAATGAACATTTTTGGGTTGTAGTGGTTGCAAAAGGAAATAATCAACAAAAGAAAGCTTCTAGAAGGTGAGATGGTGGTTTAAGGGGAATTTTTGTCAATGAAATGGTCGCAAAGTTGACCAAAAATTAAAAGTATAAGATAGAAAAGAATAAAGAAGTAATTATTATTGGCTAACAGATTCTAGTATTTGTTGGGAGGGGTAGACAAAGGGTTGTATGGCCAGAGAGTAACCAAAGTGAACATTTGTAGTTAAAGTAGTTGAAGAAGAAAATAATCAATGACAGAAAACTTCTAGACATTCAGAGAGTAGTTTTAGAATAATTTTTGTGAAGCACATTGTCGGAGAGTTGACCAAAATTAGAAGTTTGTGGTAGTAGTGACAAAAGCAGAAGCAAATAGTCACGAAGAATAGAATATTGTATATCAGAGTAAAATATTGCATTTATATTCTACTTGAGTTGGTGTTGACAGACAGTCGTTTACAGCTTGAGCCGATTTTAATTTAAAATAGGTTTTAACCGTAGAAGATAACTTAAGTATTTTAATAGTTTAATAATGATTAGGGATTTATTATTTAAAACATAAAAAGCTAAAAAGCTAAAGCCAACAAAGGATCAATTATATAAAAAACCGCATTTATATAATTTGAAATCAGTAAATACAAGACTATATGAGTACCAAGTTGCTTTATCAAATTTAAGATAATTTATAATCAACTATTAATTATCCGACCTCTCATTTTCGTTCAGCAAAGATCAGCTGCACGATTCTTCATCGTTTAAGTCTACAACTACATCAGTCAATTCGTTCTCGTTCTCAGATGGATTGGTGTCTTCTGCTATCATGGGACAGCTACTATCTGCTTCATCGTCGTTATTGTATTCTTCACTTTCTCTATGCACCAATACTTGTACTACTGTCGACTCACTATTCTGTCTATTTAGGGGTGGTCTTATTAGGTGGCTTTCCGGGGAGGCTTCCGTTACCAGGATACTCACATCCGTGCTGAAACTAATGTTAATATAATAAAATATATTTACAATTACCCAAGAAATGATACTTGGGGATCTATAGGACGCTATTCAAGAACAAATACGCCGCGAATAAAATTGGAATTATGAATGTGTTGCCTGTGTGAGTCTATTTCAAATAGGTAAAAAGAAATAAAATAAGACTTACAAACAATTTAATTTTACCACCAAAACGACCGGCTTAGCATACTAAAATTTCCTATGCATCATCAGGTCCAACGGTACCAGGTAAATTAAATGCTGAAATTACAAAAGCCCACATTAGGGTGCTGTCTTACAAAGATAACAATTACAGCAATTATGCCAATATTATATGTCTGTAATTATTAATATGAATAAAAATTGACAAAGCAGACAAAATAAAAACCCACAAATTGGTATTAGATAATCTATTGAATTGAAATACATTAGTAAAAAAATAAAATAATACTTACATGCCGGTACAAGAATTATTAATTAGTGATTTCAAAAACATAGTTCAAATTATCCTATATTGCTGGTGATGGGTGATCATCGGTTTTATTATAATTGTTTGACAATTAGGGGAGAGATATTAACAAATGAAATAGGAAGAAGGTATTATATATTTTAGAAATGTGTGTTATTTTATTGTGTTATTTATTAAAAGGGTAGCTACCTTCATTTATTGTCATACAGCTACCCCCTTTTAATAAATAACTCAAAAAATTAAAACACATTTCTAAAATATACAACACCTACTTCCTATTTCATTTGTTAATATCTCTCGCCTCAAGAACTTTCCCGCTAATTGTCAAACAGTTACAATAAAACCGATAATCACCCATCACCAGCAATCCAGGAGTGTTTGAACTATATTTTCCGAATCATTAATTAATAATTCTTGTACCGGCATGTAAGTAGTATTTTGGATATTTACTAATTTATTTCAATTCAATAGATTATGGTATACCAATTTGTGGGTTTTTACTTTGTCTGCTTCATCAATTTTATGCATATTAATAATCACAGACATGTAATATTATCATAATTACTGTAATTGTTGAAGATGCTTAGCAAAGTGTAGTAAGCGAAACCGCTCGTTTTGGTGGTACAATTAAATTGATTGTAAGTCTTAATTTATTTCTTTTTACCCATTTAAACTATGATACAAATCTCCTTACCTTGTACACTTTTCGGACTGAGTTCTCTGGCATCCACCAGTCATAGAGGTTGGTCGGGATTTTACCGAACCAGCCCTTTTCCTGCGAATTACGCTGCCTCTTTTTGGTTTCGGTTCCTCGGCAGCCACAGGATGAAGTGTTTGGGAGGCTTTTAATTCTTTATGCCCTAGAAGGGGAGAAGTTTTTTCATCGGGCTTTTCTACGGCATCTTGATGACGCAGAAAGAATGGAAAACTGTAAATGCTCCTTCGACGAGCCTGTGATGAAGGCATGGGAGTTATTGGGGTTGTACCTACAAAAAAGTGTTATATTTATATTCTTTAATTACTCATTGGAAAACTCTGCTATACTCTTGGCAGCTGCCTTTTAAATTACATCATTTCTTTTATTCTTTATTCAGAAACATTTTCTACAAATGCACTAATTTTTACTGCTGTTGTTTCGTTTGATTTCTAATCAGGGTGTCCTCATTTTTCCATAATTTTTGAATAATTTCTATCTCCTGGCCGAAGGCGTTTTCAAAGTTTATAATATGATATGAATAGTTTTCCTAGATATTTTCAAAAGAACATTTAATTAATTTACGTAAGAATAAGCTGTAAAAGAACTTACCGGATTCTGGCGTAGCTTCGCTAACCTTGATGCTAACATCGGCGGCGTCGCGCGTCAAATCCAACTCCTCGGGGGACATGTTGGTGGCGCTGGAGAGCAACAGCAACGGTAAATTCAGCCAAGGGCCGCCTAGCTCGCTGAGATCACTAGCGTCGGACGCCCTAGAGGACTTGCGAGAGGAGGCGCGACTCCCTCGATGCACATGCAAAAAGGCCGATAAACGCCCTTGCCAACCGGTACCAGGTGATGATGTTTGCGTTGTTTCATCTTCCAGTTCTCTTTCTCGTTCTTTCTTACGCCTAAACAATAGAAACGAAAAGTTTATAAGTAAAAAATTAAAAAGGAACAATATTAACAAAATATATTTGACTTCTGTTGTATAACGCCACTTAATCATTGCTCCACTATTTCTCCCACTGTATTAAAGCTTTAACCCTTAAGGATTAACATAAAAAATAGTTTATATAATAAGATGTAATATAAATGATAATTAAACTTATTTTAAATGGCAAGATAGAAGGCAAAAGATCTCCAGGGCGCAGAAGGACATCATGGTTGAAGGACATCAGATAGTGGGCAGGAATGACTACCATACACCTATTTAGAGCAGCTGTCAACAAAGTTGTATGAACCAACGTGATTGCCAACATCCACAGAGGATAAGTGTAAGAGGATAAGGAAAAGTGTCCTTGTACAATCCTGTATGAATGAATAGTAATCATCATCACAGTCATTAACATCTTAGTAGATGTGTTATGGTTCATAATTGGGCTTCAGTAGCTCGGACAGTTTGATTGATAATATTTCTCCACTGGTCGCGGTCATCGGTTATATGTATTGCCTCAGTATACTGTTTATTGAGAAGCTTTTTAGTAATGTCCGCCCATCGCTGTGGAGATCTTCCGCGTTGGCGTTGAGTCTGAGGCCTTCCTTGGACCACCAACCGCTCCATTTTGTGATCACTTCGATGGATATGGCCAAAGAACTTTAAAATTCTAGAGTAAACGGTACTGGAGAGACGCTGATCCGGTTTAATTTCATCCAGAACCGAGATATTTGTACGGCGAGCCGTCCATGGAATTCGAAGCAGGCGTCTCCATGTCCACATTTCAAAGGCGTCTATACGTCGTCGATCTGATTCTTTGACTGTCCATGTCTCGCATGCATAGTAAAATATGGAAAAGACCAGAGTTGAAACGAGTCTCTTTTTGTTTGTCATAGTAATGTGACGATCACGCCAGACCCCGTTTAGTTCACACATTGCTGCTCTTGCTAGTTGAATGCGTCTTCTAATTTCGGATTCACAACTGCCTGTGTTGTTAACTAGAGCTCCAAGATATATCATAGATGAGACTACCTCGCATCCCGCAATAGTTTGGGTTTCAGGAAACTGTTGTTGGCGATCAATAACCATGATTTTGGTTTTGTTGTAGCCATGAGTCCAAATTTAGCACTTTCTACCTCGAGTTTTTTTAATAATTTAATAATTTCTTCTGGAGTAGAGGCTAGAAGTGTAGCGTCGTCTGCGAAACGCAAGTTAGATATCTTAACACCACCTAGGTTTACTCCTCCCTCCCAGCCATCCAAAACTCTGCGCATTATGAACTCCGAATAGATGTTAAATAATAAGGGAGATAAAACGCATCCTTGGCGTACTCCCTTCTCCAAAGTGCATTTGTCAGACAGATATCCGTCCATTCGAATATATGCCAGGTTATCTTGATACAGTTTGCTAATAAGGTGAGTCAAGTGTTTAGGTACACCCATTGTCGTCAATATGTTCCATAGTTTGTCCCATCTAACATTATCAAAGGCCTTTGTATAATCGACGAAACATATAAATATACATATGAATAGTAATATTCATATGTAATTACGTGGCTAAAGGATTCAAGCTAAAGCCAATTAAAAAAAAAGATAAACATATTAACTTACTTTTGATAGTCTTTGTACGTTTTCTGTATAAGCCTTGCCGCTTTATCCTGTCTCTTCCATATCCTGGTAGACGAAACGATTTCAAGTTCTTTTCTAGTTGGGAACTGCTTCTTGAACTTGATACTCATCTGCTCTTGCAACTGTCGGAAGTTTTCAGTCTCTTCAACGTGTCCTAGTACGTGTTTCACAAGTGCGTGTAAAATATCCAGGCAATGAATTTTATTGCCTTTTGCAATCGGTAAGTTAAAACTTACTAAGGCCACCGTATTCGGCTTTGATATGCCCAACGGAGGGTCCAAGGACGCTATGAAGTCTGACAGCTGGGAGAAGCGGATAAACTGCGTAGCGTGAGGATCGTATCTACAAAAAATTAATAAACATTAATATTATCAATGTTTTAAAAATTTTTATTTAAATTTAATATCAGCAAGTGTATAAAAAAATCACATGATATCAGATTATAACCTAATCGTCTTAGTGCAATTATAAAAACAGTAACAAACTAAATTAACAAACTAAACTATTGTTACCACAGTTCCGTGAGATTTGTTCTATATATAAAATTCCCTGACGGAAACAAGACGTATTTAAAAATCTGAAATGTTCGAGATGTCATTGAAAAATTCCGAAATGTCTAGTACTCAATGTCTGGAACGTCAGAAAATATAATATAAACACAGCAGCTGACAGTTTAATAATACTCACCACACCAAAGAAAACACAAAGAAACACGCACACAGAACAACAGAATCCTATCCCCTCCACATTCAAAGCATCTACTCCCTATTACGATCCTCCACCCCAAAATCCCCTCACCCACACTCTCCTACAAATACAAAACACACTCTCCCCAACACACACTCACTAACACCCATACACACATGCACCACACCTCAACAAACAACACCTAAACAAACACAATCAGCCAACACACAACCCAAAACACAAAACACACAACAATCACAACACACGATCCAAAATTACAGAATCGAGGACGTCCCCACAGACATCTGTCAGCAGATGTCATCAAAGACAACGATCTAATCCCAGACTTAGACTCAATAAAACTCTTTCCAACCCAAAAGGCAGCTTCCGTACGAACTACCAAACTTCTAGACTTCAGAGATCTCACGGCAAAACTTCGACTAGTTTGGGATGCAGTCTATTATAAATTTTTACCTCAACAACGCTAATGTAATAATTAAGTAGCTGTCAATAAAACTATATTTTACTCCACGACTTCAACATTTTATTTTTTCGTCGTCGATCGAGAAGAATCGGACCAAGGGAAACAATTCGAACTTATTATTACATTCGAATTTGTCAGATAGTCCTGCATTAATAATTGTAGAGCGTACATCAGGGGGTGAGAAATTGGAGACTTTTCTTCTTCTTCTTCCTTCTTGTAAGTAAGCTTTAAAGTCTGCTTCTTCCTCAATATTAGCCTTATAAATTGTTTTAATTGTCACACTATCTTTTTCTTGGTCTGCCAATACTCCTTTGTCCATTTGGTGACTTATCCCGTACTATTCGTACTATTCGTACTATCCTATCCTCTGTTATTCTACTAATGTGTCCCAAGATTTTGTAAAAATATAATACATTTTTCAGGCCACCCCTTAAAGTCAGGCCACACGAGGTACAAGAATGTGTATGACATGTTGCGTTTGGTCATATTGATGATTCTGATATTTGACAATTTAGAATTGTCAATATTTTTATTTTGTGATTAGATTCTACACAAATACTAAAATACTCAAATTTTTACAAATACTAATACTACTAGTGTAGTGTTGTTTCCAAAGCAATAAAATTTATGAAATGTATTCAGTTCATATGAACAGAATTTATTCCTTTTCAAAATTTTTAAGGCCGTAGAATTATGAATATTAAACTAAATCCACAAGGAAAACAATTCCTGTAGCTGGCTGTATACCACGTATCACAAAAAAAGAGGTTAATCTTTGTAAGTGGGTATATTTATTTAAAAACCCTTAAAAGGGCTACATCAAAAAAACAAACGTTTTCGGACTAAACAGTCCATCATCAGGTTTAAAATCTGCTAGGTTAAAATGCCTGAGCCACCAAAATACATGGGTAAAAACCCTTTAAATTACTTATAGTTATCAAAGATTATACATCTTGTTGTTAAAAAACTGTGATGTTCATTATTAAATTAGATATGACTTCATGTAACATACATTGTAAAAAGTTTTGAGTTCCAGAGCCGGGGAGAAAACCTCTACGCACGGAGAACAGCTGGAAACTAATAATTAGGGAAGCAGGAATTCAACAATTCAGAATTTCCCATTGAATTTCCTATGGCCAGTTTGACGATTCACCACCCTGTCTATTAAGATTCTTGTTATAAACCAATGAAAACTCAAAACAGGATTCATTCAACACAAAGTCATATTTTCTTATAGCAGATAAATTATTATTTGTAGAAAGAATGAGGGTGCCACCATGAGCTGAACTTGTACGATCATATCTAGCAATTGTGGCATATTTTTCTACAAAAAAAGGCTCGTTGACTTGAAGCCAGTGCTCGGTAACCGCAAATATCGGGGAAATCCGAATTCGTCTAGAAACAAAAATAATTAATCAGAACCATGCTAAAGTTGTCGGAAGCATTAGAGACAACTGAGACTGGCCTATTTTTAGCAGGTACCTACAGTCTATTTGATGACGATGATAAAAAGGGATGCAATTGTTAAAGAGAGCAACCACAAAGGTTTTTCCAATAACATTTATGGCTGATCGATCGGTAGACAGAATTGCTGTTTATTTCAGTATTATAAAAGCTGTCGAAATTAACAATTCAATTATATACAATGTCTTATAAATTATGAAAATATTATTAAAGTTTGGATACCGTGGAAATGAGGAAATTAGAAGAAATATACAATGGATGAAAAACATTAACATAGTGTTTTTTACTTACTTGCTCCATCTAATGTAGAACATTTCCAGATCGTCTTCTACGATACCAATTTCTTCCTCCTGATGAGCTTGGTTAAAGTTCTCAAGAATAATTGCAATGTACATGTTAATAACTATCATATAATTTATAATAATAAAACTAGTAAAATATATTATTGCTAGTAGTGGATAACCACAATCACCATTACTCTGATTTCTAAAATGTGGATCACAGTCTGGATACTCGATCATTAATGATTCTAATACATCATTCCATCCTAAAACAAAATATCGTAGTGTTATTAAATATTGACTGCATCAGATTTTATATGCAAACGTTGTTTATTAACTTTGTTTTAACACCAAAAACAAACTCACTAAATTACAATTATTATAAAATCTAACTACGCTAATAATTATGTCTTAATTAACAATTATATGAATCGTTTATAATTCACATGGATATCGCTTAAATAATAATTCGTTGATTCTAATAATCAAATATCCTTAAAACAAAATTTTTTGCAAAAGATTCACAAAATTTCAAATCACCACAACGCACACAAATGCATTTTCAAGTATATTCTTCAAATTCTACTCTTATATACTAACCTGCTGAAGTAATCAGCCTAAAAAGCAGATGCATAGATCTTCCAAACGTTTCGAAGTTTACCATATCATCCAGCGCTCCCTGCTGGCGTACATGGCCGAAAAGAAACATGCCGATGATGGCGTAAATAAAAGTTATAAGAGCAAGAAGAGCTCCTATATTAAATAAGGCGGGAAGGGATACTATCAGAGCGAAGAGGAGCTTTCTTATACCTTTGGCAGCCTGTAAAAAATAAACTTGATATAAACATCGTCTAGATATTATTAACATTATAAAAAGAAAAACTAATATTTCCTTTGTTTATTAAATATTTTGTATTGTAAATATATTGGAAAGTTTTTAATGGAACAGGGATTTTTAATACAATTACTGAGATCCCCTAATTTGCAATTACCAAGTGTACATTTCAATACAACGTCGCGATGTTTTATAAATAATATGTTTGTTCCACTGGATTGCTTCTCTTTCGCGATTTGTAGCAGCACTAGCAGCGTATTTGGCAGGCGTACGTCGACACTATTGTATTGTCCACCGATTTTCTATGTTTTTGTGCAGATAATAATAATGTTTTATTAATAACAATTTTGTTTGTGTTCATTAGATATTATTTGAATTGGTTAATGTATAGTTACATAATATAGTTAATAATACATTTATTATTCCAAATATTGTTGATAATTTAAAATGATGTATATGATGTATCGAAATCTACAGATTTTTGCCGAAGGTATCTACCGATTTGGCAACTCTCCCAAGGAACATCACTGGCCGAGCAAATCAAATATCTTTGGCCTTTGCCTCTCATTATAACGCTATAAGCTGAAATTAAAGTAGTGTTTCTAACCATAAACCATGTATACAAATGAAGAAAAAGTAGAAATTTTAAAATGGTATTTTGGGGCAACTCGTACCGTGACATTACAAATTTATTTACTTGTGCATAATGAAAATAGGCCAATACCGACACAATCAACTATTAGACGTATTATTAAAAAAATTGAACCGTTTGGTTGTGTACAAAACTGTCGACAATGTACGGATCTACCACGAGAAAAAATAATCAGCGAAATTCGGCAAAATAGGGAAATTGATGTTTGTAGTGTTGCTGAAACTATTGCAAACAAATTTCATACAATTTCAAACGCATGGAATTTTGTAAACTGATGGTGAATAAACAAAACGATAATGACGTTAAAAAAAAAACAGTTTGTTTATCGATGAATCGACATTTTCGATACATCGAAAACATAATCCTTCTATCGTACGATATTGGTCTCGGCATAATAAACACTTGAGTATTCCAGTACGAATACAATATCCCCAAAAACTTAATGTTTGGAAAGGTATTTTGGGGGACTATATCGTGTCGGTCCGTTTTTTATTTATGGTAATTTAAAGGGGAAATAAATATTTAGAATTGTTGCAAAATCAAATTATTCCAGCAGTTCAATTACTTCCTGTCAACTTTGACGATATTTGGTTTCAGCAAGACGGCTGTCCTGTTTACAATATACGAGCAGTTCAAAATTATGTAGAAACCATTTTTGGAAATAAATTAATTTCTTCTCATGATACGATTAAGTGGCCTCCTGGATCACCAGACTTATCACCAAATGATTTTTTTCTTTGAGAATATTTAAAAGCAAGTGTTTATTGACTTGGTTTTAAAAGAGCCCGAAATTTAGCGGAATTGAGGGGCAAAGTAATTCATCGTTGTGGAAGCATTAGACTAGAACTGCTCAGAGATATGAGAGTGTCTTTGTACAACAGATTTAGTTTTTGCTCTGCAGAAAGAGGTGGAATATTTGAACATCTATTATGGTTGAATTTTTAATTCAATTTAATATTAATTTTATGTTATTTTTGGAATTCCTTTTTATTTTAATTTTTAGAAGTCTACTTTTTTTCATGCTATCTTGGCAATAAAATATAACAATTTGTTATATTACAAACAAGTAAAATAATATTTTAATTCCATATCTACGTAAAATTGTAGGATTTTTGGTGAATTGACATGTACGCTACCTGTGTTCCGTTTTTATGCTGGCAGCTTGAGGCTTGGCTTGCGCTTGGCGAGATGCGAGATTTTATTATACGATAATCGTTTGCGCACGTGCACAGCAGTCGAACAAATAAATTAATTATAAAACTTCGCGACGTTTTATTAAAATTTACACTGGTTAATTTCAAAACTGCTAATCGTTGTATTGTTATAATATTCCTATGTTCCATAAAATAAATTCCAAATATATTGTATACTATACACTTCTGTAAATATTCGTTTTTCTCAAAAAGTATAAATAGCTTAATGCAATTCTTTATTTTTATATTTACTTGCTGCAATATTTTCATTTTCTCAATAATTATTTATTAGAAAAAGCAACAAAAAGTTTTTCCAAATGAAAAACGTGAAACTAATCAGATTATGTAAAATATGACTTTCAAAAGTTCAAGTAGTTTTTATTATTTCGAAATTTTATAATAAAGAAATACATTTATCTATTGGGTACTAAGAATACAAATACACATTAATGTGTTACCAACATGAGGAACATTTCTTGTAAATAACTACAAACATTTATTGGCAGGTCAGATGTTTTCATTCCTATTTAACGAATCACAATAATGAAAGAATGATGAAGCATATTAATAACTTGGGTTCAAAAAGAACTCTACCAAAATTTTATTTATATATAAAATTGTATAATTCTTACTTAACTTAAATATTATTAGTTGTATTCACAGAATAACATTATACACTGGCGGCAAAAAATTTAGGTCACGTTGAAATTGTGATGTCTTGTTGACATTTTCAGTTGTAAATTTCTGTTTGCCATTGTAAAACATCGGTACTGTACTTTGTAAACTAACTTTAATAATCAATATTAAATTAATAGCAATATTTTGGGTTTTGAGCTTTATTAAGGAGAAGTAACAAGTTTAAAGTTAAAACCAAATGCAAATTGTTAAGAAAGTGGCAAAAAATGATTAAAACTAAACATTATTGAAAAAAATCTTGATTAATAGTGCGTATTTTCCGCTCATGCATTATTGACCGCTTATAGGCAATGAGACATATTTTCAATTAAATAATGGATTAGATAATGGACGACATTCTTGCAATAACAACTCTCGGATAACTCTGGGCTGTGGTGACCAATCAAACTGCCCAATTCCCACTTCATCAAAATATTCTCTAACAACTCTGGACGTATGGGGTGTAACATTATCTTGCATGCAAATGCCATGTTTGCCCTGAATAGTCATAAAGGCATAATTGATTGAAATCTGATTGATTGAAATTGATTGAAATGAATATGTTATGGACATCAATGTCTTATTCCTACGAAAAGAAGAAGAATTGACGCTATCTTCACGTTTGAACGATGTCATACGAAAAGAAGAAGAATTGACGCTATATTCACGTTTAAACGATGACAGTTAACAGATGGCAGTTGACAGCTGTCAGCTGTCAGATGTCATCTTGTGACGTCAGAGTGGTAGTGGAGAGGGTCTGCCCAAGGGCCGCATTCTCTGCTTAGATTCATTAGACAACACTTAATTGAACAATTGGCAGTTAACTGTCAATGTTCCACCTGAGTGAATGCAGATATTTTATAAAAAAAAGTCGTAACCATCGTAAACACGATTACAGTACGTGACTAAACTGACAGATAACAACAAATTATACTCGTATTTCTCGAAAAGAAATACATCAGCGCCCAATAAGAAATCGATACAACCGTAAACAAATTACTACCTCAAAATAACAAATTTAAATGTGACCTAAATTTTTTGCCCGCCCGTATATTTCTATTCACATTTCTAACTTTGATAACGTGGAAAACAAATTCTTATATTAATTTACGTCAGTAAATGAATGTTTTAGTGTAATTTTCCTTGTCAGAACGAATGATCTAATGATAAAAACAGATCGAATAAAATTTTTCGAGAATTCATGATGGTCACTTGATTTCGACTACATTTCACCTCTAAGGCGCGAGATTTTGGGTGACAAATTTCACTTATTATTTGCCAGACTATAATTTGTTTGTACCTTCAAACAATTGGCAGTAATAAAGAATTTTTTATTCACTTAGCGGTTTGTTTTAAATAACCTTTTTGTTGAAACGTTTGCTTGCTTAAACATTGTTTAAAAATATAATTACAATTTGTTTTGGCAAAGTTCTTTAAAACTGTGTTAATGAATAAAGAATATGACGCACCAATGAGGAACACATTGAGGTTTATGGGGATTTAACTCATAATATACTTCTTTTAACATTGGTTTCTTTAGTCAGACCGATAAACACATTATAATTGCTAGGAGTTTGCGGGGGCATTACTTTTTCTGCCAAAATTTTTGTAAATAACCTTGAGGCTGTGCTTAATAAGCTGATCCATCTATAATTTTGTAATTTTGTTATTCTTCTTTTAAAAAACTGGGTTAGTTATACTTTATTTCTACTGTTCTGACACCTTAAGATTATTTTTTTAATTTATAAGATAGGGAGATAAGATACATTGAGAAATAACGGGAGTGGAAAAGGTTGAAAGACAAATAGATAAAAGGAACGATATAATTACAATATTCCTCTAAAATAATAACGACAAAATATGAACTTTACTATAAGAGCAGAGATAGGGAAGAGAAAAATGTGGCAATATTAAAAACTACATTGCTTCCAAAATTTCCTAATGTTTTCTGTATCTTCTAACTGTGTTTACTTTAGAGAGAATACTTACAATTCTTGCGATAAACTTGAAAAACTGATTGACTAGCTCTATTGCTCATCCATAATATCAAATTTAGATTTTAAATATGCTATGGTCTCTGATAAAAGGTAACAAATAATGTAATAATATTAAGTTGTGTACGGTGAGCATATTGGCAAACTTCAACATAATCTTTTTCTGAATTTCAACAAATAACTTACTTTTCTAAAAGTTATATCCAAATTAACTTTAAATTTAACCGCCAGATATTTGTTACCTTTATGGTAGGTATTGCTAAAATTTTACAAATATTACTGTGTCCATCATTACGTGACGAATTTTTCTTTAGAGATAAAAAGTTATAAATTTTAGTATTGTCATGTACACATACGAAGTTTACGAATGCGAGTTAAATCCCCTAAAGAGTTATAATGAAAACAGATAGGTGATGATATAATAAATTCACATATTCGAAAAAATCCAAAACTCTTGGGAAATAAATACAC